AGCAAAAATTTGCAAAAGAGAAACAGAAATTTTGGGAATGAAAATAGTCGAGGGAGGCTATATTGAACCTCAAAAACATTTACTTGAAAAAATACATCAGTTTTCAGATCAGCTTCAAAACAGAAATCAAATTCAAAAATTTCTTGGATGTTTAACATATATTGGAGAAAAAGGTTTTATAAAAAGTCTTGCAAAAGAAAGAGAGTTACTACAAAAAATGATTTCAGAAAAAGTACCATGGAAATGGACAGACAATGCAACTAGAGCAGTACAGTCCTTAAAAGGACTATGTACTCAATTACCACGGCTTTACCTACCAAAACCTAGTGATTTACTTATTTTAAACACTGATGCATATGAAGAGTTTAATAAGTTTATCGCAAACAACAAACCATCTGAAGTTAAATCCTTTATACGAAGGATGACTAAAGAAAGTTTGGATGAAAATAGTGAATCTAATGATTCTATGCAATTAGTATTGGGAAAAACCAATGGAAAGCAATTACTGTTATCCAAATGGGTATCAGGAACGTTTAAGCAAGCAGAACGCAATTATACAACACATGAAAAAGAAACATTAGCTTTCATAAATGCTTTGGAAAAATTTAAACTTGATTTACAACCAGTTAAATTTATTTTTCAAACAGATAGTTTGTATACAAAAGATTTTACAAAATATCGAATGAAAGAATCTTACAATAAAGGTAGACTTTTAAGATGGAGTTTGAAAGCACAACAATTTGATTACATATCTGTATATATTTCAGGAAAAGAAAACTATTTAGCAGATACATTAACCCGAGAATGGAAGCACTCAAACCAGTCTTAGAAGATAGTCTAAAAATGCTGGAAAAGCAGGTAGAAGAGCTCTTTGAGCAGATAAAGAAAAAAGAAAAAGAAATCAGCAAGATAAAAGCCATACTATTTGAACAAAGAGGCAAAGAAGAAAAGAAAAATGAAAATGCAGAAACATCAAAAGAAAAAGAAATAAATGAAGAAAAAGAAAGACCTCATTTTGATGAGGAAGAAAGAACAAAGAACCATTATGTAATATTTGCAGGTCCTAATCAAGGGATATTTTCCCAATGGAGTCAAGCAGCCATGTTTATAACAGGACAGAATGTTATACATAAAAAATTTTCTAGCCTGTTCGAAGCAAAAGAAGCGCTAGCACAGTTCAAAACAAGCTATGCGGGAAAAGCACAATCACCGGCTACAGCTGCACCGAAGCAAATGCCTATATTAGGCAAGATTCCAAGTATCAGACCACTAACGATTGGAAGCATACAGTCCAAACAACAAAAAGAAGAGATGACCAAGCTGACCAAAATTATTTTTGACCGTGAATTCAAGTTTGTGGTTAATTATACAGATGAAGATAAGCAGACAAGCATTTATCCAACTGACGGTCTATATCTTGGACCAAAAGCAATAGCACTACCAGAAGCAGATCCGATGAAGGTATACATGATGTTCCAATCAGGATTACTAAGTTGTATTTATTTCAGAGATACAAATATATTCCAATACTTTCCGATCAACATCAAGAAAGCAGTTTCTCAATACTGCAAGTACGTTCTTGGGAAAAAGGAAGGATTCGTGAAAATATTTGCCACCACACCAATTTTTGGTGAGGGGGAAAGCTCACAGGAAGTAATACAACCAGCAATACAGTTTTGTCAAATTGGAATAAGCAATGGAAATTATCCAGACATCGGCCAAGCACAACATGAGGACGAATTAGTTCAGTTTCTAAATAATTATGTCATAATCTTAAATAAAGGCATTAAAATCAAGGGAAGGATTAATTATGCAGCCAAGTCCATTATCATTTGGAGCATGCAAGCACGAGATCCAACAGAGCTAGATATCAAGTTACTTAACAAATATCTGGATACACTTATAAAAATACAATTTGAAATTCCAGAAATAGTTAAGAAAGAGATCTGCATCAGGCTACAGAAGGAATTCGCAGAAGATCACATTTGTGAATTATGCAATCCAGAATCACAAGGAGAATTTGAACCTATCCAGGAATGATGTAAGCGCTTATGTCAGGAGGCAAATAATGCAGATAGTGGACAATAGTGGAGGATCCCACCTCTAAATAATGGAGCAGATAGTGGACGAGATAATGGACGATAATGGAGGATCCCACCTCTTTTTTGAAAATTGTCTTGTTGTAATAATAGATAGGTCCTAATGCACTATGTAATGGGATGGTGAGTCACCACCCCCACCCACTTTATTTCCACTAAAAACCTATAATGTAAAGGTGTCGGTCATGTAAAGCAAGAGGCAGAGTGATATCTCTCGCCTATAAATAAGTGTCTCAAACTTCATTTGAGGACACAACAATTCGAAATAAAATTACTTCCTAAAGATACTCTTTCTCTCTCTAAAAGGTTTTAATGCTTTCATATATAATGAGTTTCTAAATACTTAGTAGATATAAGAAGAAAGATTAAAAGTGTTAGTTGATTGAGCAATAGTTTCTCTGGAGCACTGAAAGTTCTGAGAAAAAGCTGAAGCTGGTATGCGTCAAGGCTATTAAATCCAGAATTGTGTTGAGAACAGGCGGAATCAGGTAACTCTTTTAAATCGAGTACTTTTATATCTATCTTGTTGATAATTGTTATTGATTTCTTAGTTTCCCATGGATATAAATGATTTTTATATGCCATATAGAGAAATATATAAAGATATAAATCGTCTCAAAGCATTAATAAATCAAATTGCTTCATTAACAAAAATGTTAAAAGAAAATGAACAAATGTTATTCAACCTAGTAAAAATTTATGCACCTAAAGAACATTCAGTAGAAGATCATTTTCGAATATGCGATAATATTACTTCTTCAAATAATAGGATTAAAGAGTTAATAAAGAAAGCTGAGTACCAAGCATTTAGTGTAAGTGTTCAAATAAGACTAAGAATTCTAAATATAAGATAATAAAAGACAAATAATGGATAATGAATATCATGTTATAGAAAATATAGAAGAACAAGGAATTTATTTATCAGATATATTATTAGATAAAAAGGTAGTAACAAAAGTAAAAAATAAAGAAAATTTAGATTTAGAAAAGAAAGAAGGAATAAATAATAGTATATTAGAAAAATTAAATAGAAAAAATATAATACATTATGGAATAATGAATGGAGAACAACCAATTAGAATAGAACAAGCAAATTATAATTTTCAAGCACCCTTAGTTGAAATAAATCAAATAGAAAAGAGATTAGAAAAAATAAAAGAAGAAGAAAGAAAAAAGATAAGTTATATACACATAAATACAGTACAAATAGTATTACGATCTACATTTAGAGAAGGAATAAAGACACCCGTTAATATCAAAGTTGAAGATAATAGAATTATGCATAAAGAATTTAGAAAGCTAGGAGAAATAGAAGGAGATTTAGGGTATGGAGTAATTAAATTTAATATATCATTACAATTTCCTATACCATTATCAACTAAGAAAATTAATAACTGCATAGGAATAATATGTAATTTTCAAGAAAAAACATTAATGGAAACAGGAGATATACCTATGGTTGTTTGTTACAGAATAGCTTATGCATTAAGTAATAGTAGTCTAAGTATGAATTATCAAAATCAAGAAAGAATATATACGCAAAAAATATTCAATGAAACCAGTACCATTATTAAAAATGATAGAATTCAAAAGGAATTCTTAAGAGAACATAGTAGACGATCATTTAGTAATCTAGGAAAACTAAGTGAAAATAATTTATTAAAAATTCAAGAAATTGAAGAACCTCATAGTAGCAATAGTTTATATAAAGGGGATATAGAAATAGAAAAATTAAATAAACAGGTAAATGAGTTAAACTCATTAGTAATAAATCTAAATAATAAAATATAATTTGTAGTAATGGATAAGAGAGATATAAATCTTGAATTAAATGAATTAAAACGAAGAGAAATAAAAGAAGTAGATTATTTAATAGAAAAATCAATTCAATATTCATATATAAACAAGGATGAACAAAAAATAAAACAGATAGAATATGATATACAAAAATATAAGAAAAAATTTAAGAAATTACATAAAATAGGACCACCTAAAACAATAATATAAATGGCTTTAAATAAGAAAGTATACAAGGATAAAATATGAAGTATACAAGGATAAAATATGGTAGCAGAGCATGGTAACAGGTGAAATACTTAACTAAATGCCACAAATAGATTGGTTAAATGCATTTTTAGCAAGACGTAAAACTCTTAAAAAAAAAATTACAAATACAGCACCGCATTCTGAAATACACGAAAAACACATAAAATATTGGAAAGATAAGCTTGAATGTATAAATTTAGCTATCCAAATTTTAGAAACAAACAAAAGAACCTATTCAAAATCAGAAGAACAATTCTTTGAAAAATGTTTAGATCCTTGGAGATACAAAGAATAATAAACATAAGATAAAAATGAGTACAATAAAAATTTATCTGGACATAGAATGGGAAAGTTAAAATATAAAAACAGATATAATAAGATATGCTTATTTACATGATATTACAAGTGAAGAATTTTATTATGACATGATAATGATATGTGAAAAACAATTAAAAAGATTAAGAGATTTAAAAAAACAAGTAGCTGTTACATAAAATAAATGGATACTATTTATAGCATTAATATAATTAAAACAAGGGAACAATTGCTAAGGGCACTCCAATGGGTGCCACCCTCGCGGGTGGCATCGAGTGAACCTATTTTCTCGTTGCACATGAATAAATTTACTTATTATAAACAAAATATAATAAGTTTATATTCACATAATTTCCTTGATATATACGCGCTCATAATAAATTACAAAAAAAAAGATGTTCTGGATTAATTCATCCAAAAAAAAGAAAAAAGAAAAAATAACGGTCAACAAAAAACTGCTGCGTGCAGCAACTCTTTTACCCCACCACGTCACACACAGTGGGCAACTGTTGACTATCCTTCCATTGACAGCGAGTCAGCTCATTTCGGCGTGTGAACTCGAGATTGCTCGCCGAGTCCCCCCTCCAAATCCAACTCAGCGGCCCTACAGCTGCCGCTGCTACTCTCCGCCCGCGGCGATTTTCTGCCCATGCTTAGCAATCTCTTGAACGATAGAAGCCGGCTCACGGGCGAGCGCTGAGTCAACTCGGTATCTAGCTCCGCCAGCTTCGATGGCCCCACCTCTATCCTCACATCCACCGCTTTCCCCCGCCGGCCAGACAACGCGGCGACGGCGTCGCCGCCGCTCGTGCTCTCGCTGCAATCCCCGTGCCGGCACTCGACGCAGATCCCGGAATCGGACCCGGATCTGATGGATCCGGCCTCGCCAGCCACCTCCACCACCACCGCGACTGCGGATGGCTCGGCCGGGTCCGGCGGCTGTTCGACCGGGGAGCGGCAGAGGGGGCAGGTGGTGTGGGAGTGGAACCACATGTCGATGCACCCGATGTGGAAGGAGTGGCCGCACCGCGGCAGCAGGCGCACGATCTCCTTCTCCTCGAACTCCGATAGGCACACGGCGCATTCAAGTAGGGGCCGCCCCTCCGCCGCCGCCGCCTGCGGCGGCGCGGCGGAGAAGACGAAGGCCGGGAGCGAGCTCAGGACGGCCGGATCTAGGCCGGCGCGGCGGTCATCGGAGACGACCACGACGCGGGCGCTCAGGGAGGCGGCGGTGGTGGCGCCGCGGCGGAGCCACCAGCGGGTGTAGAGGTGGAAGGCGATGAGCAGGAGGAGGAAGAAGAATACGGTGATGATGGCCGCGATGAGAAGCATCTCGCCGTTGAATGAGTAGCGGCTGGCGGTGATTGTTGGCTGAGGGACAATGGTTTGTGGGTCCATGGTGTGGTCTCCGGAAAGAAGAGAGAGAAAAAGGAAGTGGGATAAAAATGGGAAGAGTGAGTGTTTTGAGTGAGTACAATGGTGAGGTGGTGCGACTATATATAGACGAGTTTGAAGAATTAAATTTAAATTAAAAAATATATAATTTAATAATATATTGAAATGAACTTTCAGAGAAGGGAGTCATTTGTGTATGAATGGAGCCCAAAGACGATAGGTGCTATTGTTGAACGACGGAAAGTTTGAGATAAGTGACCAAAAAGGGCATCGCAATCGGGAAGTTTCACCTCGAATATATTATTATATATTCACTTCACCTAATATAATTATTTCCATCAAATATTCTCCAAACATTAAACTTTGAGCAGGATACTTTCTGTTTGCACTACTTTTTTTTTGTTTTGTTTTGTTTTATTTTTTTATTTGAAAAAAATGGTACAACATGAGGACTTCCATGCAATTACTTTATGTTAGAACTTTGTCAACAAATATTTAGAGTAAATGGTGTGTTGACACGTGTCCTGCAATAAATACACATTGGACACGTGTCAATACATAAAAGTTATGGATGACTCTATAGAATTACTGTATACATAATACACCATTTACCAATTTTGAAATTATAATCTAGATCTTAATTCGGGTGAAAAATACAGTGAGAGAAATTGTGTGAAAATTCTTCTCCTGAGAAGACGGGTAGTGTGGTTTGCAAGTAATGGACGATACTCCGAAATACTTTTCCCGCCAGTGAGTTTTTCTTATTTTGCCGCTGAGCTCAGTTTTCGTTTGAGTACGTTTTGGAAGCTTGGACAATAGTGGCATGTTTGTTTTGAAACCTTGTTGCTTGGAGCTTCGTTTATGTCATATTATCTTCTCGCCTGTTGATTTTTGGTGTTCATTAGCAATTTTTCTTTCAATATGGAAGATTTGTTTATCCTGTGAAATGTTTTTGTTGTTCAATGTAAAAGATATATATATAAGGATTTCATTCCACTAACCATTTTTCATGTTTTTTACATTACATTCACTATCTAGTTCTCATTTTTTAACTCCAATATGCATATGACAAATATGTGAAAACAATTCATTCCCAAAAAACTTGCTTCATAGTGATTTACAAGAGTCGAATATAAAGATAGAAAGGAATCCATAAAATAATATACATCAAATCTCTAAGATTCCAAAATCTATTTATACCAAAAATACAATATTCACAAAATCACACTAACACTTCAAGCCATGTAGTTTTTCAATGATGCCCAAATTGCCAAGAAAAAAGATCGAACTCGCGTTTTCTCAAGGTGAAGATGTGCGCCAACTGAGAATGAGTGGAAGCATGAGCGGTAGTAATGAGACCTTGAACAAGAGCATCACAAAGAAAATGACAATCGACTTCAATATCTTTCATGCGCTCATGAAATACCGGATTAGCAGCATGTGCAGAGCTGCTTGTCTGTCACAATGAATCTGCATGGGCTGAGAATGAGCGACGCCAAGGCTTTGAAGTAAACTCTCCAACCATTTCAGCTCACAAGTAAGGATCGCCATAGCCCGATAGTCGGCCTCGGCAGAAGACCGGGCTACGGTGTGTTGTTTCTTGATGTGCGAAGAAATGGTGAATGATCAAGCTGTACAAACCAGCCCGAGAGAGACCGGCATGTAGTGGGACAAATCGCCCAGTCAAAGTCACACCAATCGTAAATCTGCAAGTCACAATTTGAACGAATAAGTATATATACCCTGATCCGGAGTTCCCTTCCAATAACAAACCACCCAAAGTTATTTTATATTTACTAGGAAAAAATGTACACATATTTTGTTTTCTAGTATAAAAAGTCTCCTAGATCATTTGTCCTTTTATAAGATACTTTCTTGCAATAGTGGGATTCTTTAACCTTCCAGTATAACCTATCGAATGCTTAGGTCGTAATCCATCCTATGGACCTCTAGGTTGTGTCCCTGCCAGGTCGAGTAACGACTTACTGCGAGCCTTCGAGTATTCTGAGGTTTCTGCGGACTCTTTCTTAGTCGAGCTCCTTGATGAGGTCAAAACCCCTATCACCGAGCTATAATCGAATCGTCACTCAAGTTATCATCCTGAACTCTTCAATGAGGTCAAACATTCATCACTGAACAGTAGATAGCATGAACCGGCTATCCAAACTAATAATTCCTAATTGGATCACCGACTTAATTATGGCTATTGTGTCATGTTTACTAAATAAGTGGGTGAATTTTTTTCAACTAAATCTATTTATATATATTGGTTGTATGATGTTCCCTAAGTGGAAGTAACATTATGATACATAGAAAGTGATATTGTAGATTATATATGATTCGGTGGCACTATATAATTAACTTTTTGTCATCAGCACCACATTCCAAATTCCCCTCCCCTATATATTAATTCAGAACTGTTGAGCCTAATCTTATGTGACAAAATTACATGCTTCGTTATTAGGCTTGAGTAGATTTAATTTAGTTGCAAAGTAAAAATAATTAGGTTCAAATTATCCATAAATATATTTAATTATTTATGATCATGTTACATGTATTAATTGCATTTTAATATCTTTTCTTATTATAACCATTCAGTTGTAAATATATTTTAAAAGTTAATAACTTTTGTATTTTTTATCAGTTTTACATATATATTATATCAAATTATTCATCTCTTGATGAGCTTCGATTTAACATCCATATTGGATATATAAAAAAATTAAATTATATTTATCTTTATAACAATAATAAAATTGTTATTTAATATTCATTAGAAAATAAAATTATTTATCAATTAATATATTTATATTTCAAGTAGTTATATGATATAAGTTATAAAAATTACTATTATAAAACACATTTAAATCTCAGAAGTAACAAGTGTCATTCTAAAATATATAATAATATATATTTTCTGTACAAAAGTAAATAAAATTTAAAATAATTTTTCTCATTAATTTTAAAATTTTTAAGAATAATTTTTTAACAAACACCCGTGTATTACACGGGTATTGTACTAGTGATTATTTAATGTGCATCAGCATTTAGCTTTCCAATATTATTCGAATACAATAACTGACTTTTAATGCCTTTGCGGCTTTGCGAACTGATTTCCCTGCACACAGTTGATATAAAATTACAAAAAAGATGTTGTTGCCCTGTGGAAAAAAAAATAAATAATTACAAACAAACCGGTCAACAAACAACTGCTGCGAGCATGGACCATTTTTACCCTAATGCGGAACACAGTTTCAAAAAAAATGTTGCCCTTACAAGTCCTATCATCGTCAGCGAGTGCGAGTCAGCTCACTTCGGCGTGTGAACTCGGCACTTGTGGAGTCCACCCTCCAAATCCAACTCGGTAAGGGCATCTGCATCGCTTCATTCTTTGGTCCGTTTAAACGCCTCCGAAACGTTAAACACGGATGTGGTTCATCCATTAAAATGAGGGGCCCGCACAAACGTTCAATGGGCTGAACGCTTTTTACTTCCCTTTTTTTTGTTTTAAAATCATTACTTAATTAATCTTTTTTTCTTTTTGTTTTTATATTTAACTTATTTTTTATTTATATCATAATTCCCAATATGTATCAATTGAAAGAAATTTAATGGGCATACTCATAACTATCAGGCGGAATTGAATAAACCCTAAGCATGTAATTCTATCAGTTCATAGAATATGGATCGTTGCATAAATTAAATTGCACATAGAACTTACAAGAATCCAGCTTATAGTCCTTCACTGTTTTCTTGATCTATGATGTTGATCTGCGATCTCTTCGTCTCGTAATGTCATGGATCTATCTTTCTCATAATCTCCAATGATGGATTCGCCTTTGCCTATGAATTGTTTCTCTCTCCCGCGTCTCTCGTCTTTTCATAAAGCCCTTGATGTTGAGAACTTTATTTGTGTATGAGATGGGAGAGAGGGGCATGTAGTATATATATATAGGAGGAGACCTACAATCCTATTCCTACTAACATTCCCCATGTTCTAACCTAACTTACTGTCCAAGTCAAACATTACAAATTGGACTCTTTAATATTAGAACATTAATAATCCATTAAATACATATTCCCCTTAATTAAGTTTGACTATTAATTCAATTAGGTCCAATTAATTATATGGTCCACAATAATAGAATAATATAAAAATATTATTACATTCTCCCACTTGGACCATATCAGTGTCGAAACCCAAAGAACTACTTTAAGCGCGCACCTTTCATCAAACTTATAATTGAATACATATATCTATAAGTTTAAAATCAAAATAGAAATTAACCGAGTCATGGCGGTCACAAGTCTTCGAGCGACATGATCCCTTCCATGTACCACCAATCATTTCTAATTCAACTTTACTTTAATATGGAACAAACTATTCGTACCATAACCATAAGTCATCCAACTTTTATGTATATACTATAAAATCAACTATCCATAATGATGATATTGTATGTGAAGAATCAAACATCTTTAATTGAATTCAATAAGTGTCAAAATCATTAATTGAGCAATTTCATTCAGTATCGGTCAGTCCAACAAGGCCCCATTCGTTATTCCCAATTTTCTTTATATGCCTTGCAACGGCTATATGGAATAACCCTTTAATGGATCCACTTTCATGCAATTAGTACTAAAATGCTCAAATGACACTTTATTTCTTCACTTATATTTTACGACCAAGTATTTAAATTTTATGTGATTCACACCCTTTGAATACTTGTCATACCTTGAAATATTATTGCTACAATGCTACGATAATTCTTAGCGGCTTGGACAAGATGTCGACATTTCCAAGTCCTAAGATAAAGCATTGTAGCCCTAAATTTGACTTGTGGCCTCAAAGCATACCACAAACTCAATCCTACACCGTGGAAGTCGCGATGATGGACTTTTGTTCCACCTTTCCATAATTTTGCTCCTTTAGACATTATGAGCAAAAGTCTGAATCCGAGTATCCAATTATAACAAAATAATTTGGATCTTCTTTAAGTTAG